GAAATAATCGACTATCCAATCAAGCGAGGAACCAAGTTATTAGCAGAAGTTGCAAAGGAATAAAGTAAAAAAGACTTGCATTAAGGTACATTTCCCCTGAGGCTAAGTTTAGTTTTGGTTGGAAGTTTATGTAGCCTTGGCTTCTTTGGAATGGCTAGAATTTTTTTCCTGCAGAATCTCAGACTTGTTCTTACCTTTGGTCTTTCTCTTTGAATTTCCTTTTTGCTTTTGCTTTTTAATTTTAATTTTTAATTATTGCTGGTTGGGTTTGACAATTGCTTTGCACTATCAGTAGTTCAAGGCCATTGGATTCCAGTGGGTTTTTTTAATATCAGCAAAACTTAACACACTAGAATTAGTAATACTGTACTAAATACTAAAGATACTAATTAATTTTAAATAACTAAATGCACTATTTAAAATAAATACAAGTTAAGAGCACACTAAAATGATGTAGTGATATTCAGTGGTGGTATTCTACTGGCCCAGTTCTGGCAAGCCAGTAGCAGCTATGAGCAGTGGAGACCAAACCGGTTCACTTAGCTGCTCTGCTGTAGAGCCCACCTGCCCACCCGAGCTCCCATACTAACCTTTATCCGCTGAATTTGAAGCGCAGCAGCTTTGCGTGGCACAGAATAGTGCCGTGCGGCAGCTGCTGAAGCAACTGGGATCGTGCCAGGCTTGCAGGAGGCGAGTTAGAATGCCTCTGCACCTGTGCAAATGCCTCTGCGCCTGCGCAAAGTACACATTTGGCACACATGTGCATGCAAAGTGTGTGCATGTGCGCAAAGCGTGCCACCAAGCCATGCCCACCGAACCGGTGGCAAAAATATTTGAATCTCACCATTGGTGATATTGCTTCTCTCCCTTTACCTTTACTATTACTCCTTTTCTGCATATTGCTTATCCCAAAATAATAGTTTAATTGTTCCTTATATGAGAGAGTTGGAAGAATTTATATTCTCCTAGAGTAATTATAAACATGTCATGCTATTTATTAGAAACTGTAGAAAACTCTGTATGAGTTTTAATAGAAAAAATTATTTCCCGGTAGAAACTATTTTGAGTTAGTTGTTAACAAGACAAACATTTGTGACTGTTTAAATAAGCTCTTAATTACCTCACTGTATGCTTTGATTTGGGATACATGATGCAAATCATCTAGAATAACAGAAATACATTACAGTGTTCATCAAAGAAGCAGAAAAACACTTCCGCTCAAAACCTTTTCTAAGCCCATTTTAAAGTATTATCTCTACAGCCAAGTGTCTTTGCAGGAGGAGAAAAAAAAATTAAATGGCAATCATGGCCATACAATTCACATAAAGGGATGGGGTAGGGTGGGGTGGGGGCAGGGCTCTGATCACATGGTCATTGCTGTCATCTTTGTCCACCAGAGACACTCCTGCTTAAAGTCCAATCTAGATCAGGGGTTGCCAACCTTTTGGACCTCAGGGACTACCAAACTCAAAATGTAAAATCCTGTGGACCACTAATATGAATTTTGACTGACGGTGGCTTGCTGATGTTGATGTGAGAGAGAGAGAGAGAGAGAGAGAGAGAGAGAGATCTGATCTAACCTCGGAGGGCTGGCGGTGATGTTCTCTCTCTCTCTCTCTCTCTCTCTCTCTCTCTCTCTCACACACACACACACACACACAGTCCCTCACCCCCACCCCCTCCAAGGCAGCCACATTCCTTCACTAACTGCGATTCCAAATAAAGAACGATTGATCGGTAGGAAAATGGGGTGGGGACAGAGACCCTGGGAAGATCAATCATTCTTTATTTGGGATTGCAGGATACCATCTCCAGCTCCGTTCTCAGGGGGAGAGAGAGAGAGAGAGACTTTGGCTTCATGCAAGGAAAGCAGCAGAAGCACCAGAAGTCTTTCTTTCTCTCCCCCAAACTCCACCAGAAATGAGTCTTTGCTGGCACAGCCTCTTGGAGCAGGATGCCTTGCAGGGTCTCAAAGTCTCATTTCTGGCAGAGTTTGAGGTGGGGGGAGAAAGAAAGACTTTTGCTGCTTTCCTTGCGTGCAGCCAAAAGCAGAAGTGGAACAAAGCAGCCCGGCAGACAGGCGAGGCGCATGGGGCGAATGTGGCAAGTTCCCCCCTTCTGCCCTTTCTCCCCTCCCCTCACTACCTTGTGTTTTTTCACAATGCAATGTAAGCATTTTGTTCCCATGGGCCATGTGGGTGGCACAGCCTCGTGTTCCCGTGCAGCCTGGATTAATTGCTTTGGGGATGCTTTGGGAGGTGACATTTCTCTGTGGACTACCAAAATTTTCTCGTGGATCACTAATGGTCCGCGGCCTACCGGTTGGCGACCACTGATCTAGATTGTGTCAAGTTCTTTAAGAGTCCATCTCTTTCAACATAATTGTGTCCTGTGAGGTTATCAAAGAAGTGATATTTAGTGAACTTGCCCAACCTCCAAAGAAATGAGGGAGCTTGGACTCAGGGGACGGCTTTTCAATGAAGCTCCAGTACTTTGGAACATTGTGACCCCTGAATTAGGCTTGGTCCTTGGTTGTTGTTTTTCCCCAAGGCCATCAAAATAATTTTGTTTAGTTTTTGAAGGATGGTGGTGAACTGGCCTGTATTTGTGGGGTTGGGTTGAGTTGACTTTTGACTGTTTTAAGTTGCTGTTTCATTTATCCTGTAAACCCACATAATTATGATATTTGATATGGTGTACAAACAACTTAATAAATAAAACCAAAACATTAAACTGTTCCAGTTGTGCATGTTTGACATAAATATGGAGCTAAAACTTCAATTTTTTAAAAAAAAGTGGTTTCCACAACAGCTAAACTTGATTACTAAATTAACCCATTTTCAACACAGACTATTATAAACTTTACAAAAATATTTCATTTTCGCAGTATCCTAAACTCATATTAAAAATCAACTAAGATAAAAGCTAACCATATTTAATATGTTTTGTGAATGCTGCATGTTGTGTACACTAAATATCGTGTATACTAAAATAAATGGAAAAGGGATTTTATCAAGCCTGTCTTTAAATGGAATTTGAACTATAACTACGATATGTACAAAGATGAACACATTATTGCTAAAATGTATAAATTCCTACTGACACTTGAAACAGAAGATGAAGAAGAAGAATGTATGAGAAGTGGGCTAAAAACTTTGATATAATACAAATGGCTCAATGGGAGAATATGAAAGGATTGAAATTCACTTTGTGTTATAATATTTAAGAGAATTTTTATAAAATAATGTAGCATTGGTATTTGCTGTAGGAAGTTAGCACCCATCCAGTCCTAGAAAATTGAAATATCTTAGGAAATATTAAAAAGGCAGAATATTTCCTCTAAAAAGTGTAGAAACTCAGAAGCAGAAACTCACCCCCACCTTTGTTAATGAGTGGGCCATTAAGGCCTGGGCCAGTATACTTTACATAGCAAAGATCTCCAGGTAAAACTATAGCAATTGACCAAAGCCCTTTCAGTGCATCATCCAGCAAGGCTCAACCAAGCCTCGAACTCAGGACAGCCTACAGAGTTGCCCCTGCATGGCCTCATGGGAGTCTATCAACTAATCAGAATACAAGCTCCAATTCAAATCCCAACAAGGGTTATAAAATCCAGGCACTCTCAGCATATCAGTCCTTTTCTTCTTCTCTTCCTTCACCTTGAAACATGTGATCATCCGTCCTTCCTTTTCACTTTAGGGCTCCAAGCCATGTGGTCCTAATATTAAACCTTCCAAACAGCCTACATGTTTCCAATGTCTTTTTCCCCACTTGGAACTGAACCCAGAAGGATAATTCTTCCAACATTACCACTGGAAAAATTGTCTAAATATACAAAAGCATTTCAAGTGTATGTTAGAAATATCAACAAGAGGAGCTTTTTACCATGCTTGGTGCACATGTAAAATAAATAAATAAATTTGAACTCAAATCTCAAGGATCTTAAATACCAATACATGATTTAAACAAGAGATGTTCCTTTTGGGACTGATGGACAAAGGGTTAGAAAAAACTATGGATCTTTGTACATGACAACAGCAGTTTGACTTTTATACGCATAAGGATGGAAAGATTTAATATTGCCTACAATGGAAGAATGAATGGTGATGTTGATGGAGCTGAGATGGTGAAGAAATTGATGTTGATGGAGCTGAGATGGTGAAGAAATTGACAGTTTTGATAGGGAAAACATTAATTTTAATGCTGATTGGAAACTCTTAAACTTTTTAGGTGAAACAAAAAAAATGAAATTGTGACATAGATTTGATGATGAGGACAAAATGGTAGATAATAAAAACATTAAAGCTATGTTGTAATCTTAGAGTTTAATGTAAATTCATATTCATATTTGTTGTGAAGGGAAGTCTGGTCATTTCTTTGTATTCTTTCTCTTTCTGCACTTTTGACTTTACTTTCTTTTTCATTGTTCCCTCTTTAATTATCAGATTTTTTATCTCTTTACTTGAAAATGTTAATGGTTATACAAATAAAGTGAGTCTTCAAATGAAGCACTGTGATGAAAAAACTGACAAACATATGGCAAAAGGAAGACTCAAAACTACCCTAATTCAGCAAATGATTTTTTTCTTATTTCCATTCAAACTCTATTTACTCACATGATCAACTCTTCTACAGTATACAAAAAAAAAATCCCTACAGCTGATTGGACAATGCACCTCTTCTTCTGTTAAAGACTACGGAATTCTCTCGAAGACTTTCACCCTCCCACTGAGCCTCGGTGACGTTGGCAGCCGAACGCCTCCCGCCTTGCACGAATCGGGGGCGGAGAACTCCTGGCCGCCATTTTGCCCTCCCAACTGCACTCTTTTCTCATTCTGTTCGCGCCGCCCCGAGGAAAGAACTCCTCCTCTCTTTCCTTCGCCTCCCACCGTTCTGCCCGGAAATATCCGAGCCAGAACAGAACCTGCGCGCGCGGTCTTCGCACTCCCCTTGCCTTTCTCGCCCCGCCTCCTTCCCTCGTGCAATCTCCTCCCCTCTCTTCCCTCCGCCTTTCCCCCTCAGCAAAATGGCGGCATGTAGAGGCCTTAGCAGCCAGTGAGTGACTCGCCTTCTCCTCCTGTTCCTCGGTGGCCGCCAAACTCTTTTGCATCAGACTGTCGACTCCTCGTTTTTCCTTCTATCCCGAAATCACTTTTACAACCCCCTCTTCTCCCCCCACCTTTAGATCATTCCTTCCTTTCCCTTCTGTCACACTCAGGTACCCCCCCCCCCACACCGGCCCCTTCCCCTCCCCCTCCTGCACTCGCCATCAATCAATCAGCGGCGACCGAGAGCGGATCGATCAATGGTCGGGAGGAGGAGGCGGCGGCGGCTGCTGCTGTTTAATGAACAATGTGTGAGAGCTGTGCCGAGCTGTTGGAGGTGTTAAATGAGAGTAAGTGGAAAACCTTGATCAACAAGGAGAGAGGGAAGCCTCTCGTACTTTCTATCCCGGCCTGTTTTGCACGAACCGGCTCGTGAATACGGTTAGAAAACGCAGGGATTTTTGTTGCTACTGCTCTAGAGGAGGGAGGGGAAGGGACTGTCGGTACCGGGTCTCCTTGCTCCTTCGTTCCACTCTCTCCCTTAGCGGAGGATGGGTGGAAGAGGGCTGAAAAGGCTTGCTCGGAGTGAGAGGGTCATATGGGAAAGGCCCAGGCACCCTTCGCGCGGAGGGAAGGCCCAATTGGAAAGTCAGTCGGCACTTCCTCTCGAATAAAGCATGGGATGGCGTTGCCTTGAGGAGGAGGAGGAGAGGACAAGGATGCTCTTTCTGCCCGCCGTCCTCCCCCACCCTGCCTCCTCGTTTTCTCTCATCTTGCTAACGGGGGATCTGCAAACGAGAGAGATACCGGCGATATGAGCTGCAGAAAGATTAAATGGTACAAATTGGGTAAGGGGGTGAACGAAATCAACACTGGGTTGCTTTTCCCTCTGCTTTTCGTCTTCATTAAGTTCCTATCGGTTGCATCCTCTGGCTAAAAGATCGCGGCCTAGTTCTTGTGCTCCGGATAAGCTTGCAGACAAACGAGGCCGGTCTGGATTATATGTTTGGGACACGCAAGGAATAAATCTATGGTTGAACTCTCTCTCTTTTCCCTTGCAGAGCTGTAGGATCTTAAGTGGGGTTGATAGGAAGACTTGCAACTGGAGTAATCTTTCCTTTTTGGGGAAAAAAGGTTTATTGTGGAAAAGTAGTAAACTTTATATCTATTTCTATTCTGCCTTATTTTCTGCCGGATTCTACATTGTTGGATGATGTTACTGTGCTTTCTAATGCTTTAAGATATTCTTTAAATGTTTTAAGCTTAGTGCCACCCATGGTCTACATATAGATGCAGTAGTTTCTGTTTAAGTTTTTTAAAAATATTTGCTTCATTTGCCTTGCTTCCAAACTTTTGTGTTATTCACAACACAAATATGTGAAAATCTACCTTCCAAGCAGAATATTTTTTGCAGGTTGTGGAGTAAATCACAAGACTTGGTTCTAAAGAAGAATATATAGAATTGGGGTTGTAAGTCTTAAGATATTTAGTGTTTTGGGGGTCAAAAACCTTTATGATTTATCTAGTATAAAGCTGTTTTGGATTCTTGAGTGGGTGCTGTTCTGCCTTAATTTGTGATATAAAAGGAAACCTGTTATGTTAAAGGTCTTAAAAAGAGAATAGGTAGAAACAAAACTGTAGAAGAATAAAGTTACTTTTGCTATGATTTACTTGCACCTATTGAATCTTACTGATGATTCCAACCAATTCTTGGTTTCAAGAATTGTAGGCAGTGTTTAGAATTATCTGTGGTACGCCTGATGTAATTCTAATTGTAAGTTGTTCATATGGTTCGTATTAGTATGGCTATAATTTGATGAAGAAAAATGATCTTGGTGCTGAGATTCATGTATAATGGTGGTAGATAAGAATTTCACAATCAAGCTTATTGAGATCTTACTTTTGAACATTGTTCATTTTGAGAGATTGGCCATACTTTGAAATAATGGTTCTTTGCTATTTGAATTCAGAAACTATTAGCTGTACAACTCCTTCCAATTATTTGGCATTTATATTTGCAACATTTATATGCTTGGATCAATTATTAGGAACTAATAGAACCTTTTGAGACCAAAATGCTTGATTAAATAGCATAAGCTCAACTAATCTTGAACTTTTACACCACTTGTTTAGTGACTGTTCGAAGTTACAACAACAATGAAAAAGTGACTTATGACCATTTTTCACATTTATGACTACTACAGCACCCCCGGGGACACATCATGAAAATTCAGATGCTTGGAAACTGGTTTATATTTATGATGGTTGCAGTGTTTTGTGATCATGTGATCACCTTTTGTGACCTTCTGACAAGTAAAGCCAATGCGGAAGTCAGATTGCCTTAACTGTGTTGATAACTTAAAAACTGCATTTGTTACTGCACTTAACAACTGTGACAAGTAAGGTTGTAAAATGGAGCAAAAGTTAATGTCAAGCTTACCAATAAACATTTTAGGCTCAGTTAAGGTCGTAAGTGGAGCACTACCTGCCTTTGTGAGCTACATCAAATGAATGGAGTGACTGAACTGGTTTATCTAAAACAGGGGTGTCAAACTCAAGGCCCAGGGGCCAGATCCAGCCCATGAGGTACTTAGATCTGGCCCGCAGGGCCACCCTGAAAACAGTGAAAGACTAGCCCATGGTGCCTCTGCCAGTGAAAATGGAATTTGGAAGGGTCACATGTGACCCTCCAGAGTTCCGTTTTCACTGGCAGAGGGTTGCAGGAGGCCGTTGCCATCTAAAATGGAGCTCAGGAGCATGTTTTCTCTGGCAGAGCGCTCTGGCCACCACAGGAGCCCCACGAGTGATATTGAGCTGGCCACGCCCATCCTGGCCATGCCCACCCTGGCCCCCTGTGGTAAAACATAATCCTGATGTGGCCCTCATTGAAATTGATTTTGATACCCCTGAAAGAATTGAGCTGCAGGTGACAATACTTTTGCATTTTAATATTTGTTAGCCAAGCTGCATATTTCTCTTGATTTTGGGGTATGATATTCTTCACTTTTCACTGTAACTTGGATCACTTAGTGTTGTGAACTGGTTATTACCATTTTCAGAATGTAGTTTAGTTGAGAATTTTTCTTATTTCAAGATAGAACCCATAAAAATAACAAAATAATTGTGCTTTCTTTTGTTTCTATATTAAAGTATATAAGATTTTTTTTAAAATCACATTTAAAAGTACCTGTAATATAACTTGTAAAAATAATTATAGATCAAAAAAATTGCTCCTTAAGTGTGAAAATATATGCCCCAGTTACAGTAGTCATGTTAAGAATAGTTGCCATACTATTTTATTTTCATAGATCTGTGGGCTTTGAAGATTAAGGAGTACTTGCAAACAGTTTTTGCTTGCTTTTCGTTTTTATAATTGTTTTGGGAGTTTTTAACTGCTTCTCATACTACAGTATTTTCCTCATTAAAACCATAGAGTATTTTTGATTCAAAGGCAATAAGGTCCTATAGATTTCACAGGGGTGTAAATGTTGCAAATGTATACAAGCCCTTAAAGCATCCATACCTTTTTGTAAGATGTGCAACTACCTTCCAAAACTGGTATGCAACCCCAGAAAAATATTTTTGATATTGGAACAGTTTGAACACAAAGGACATGTACAGATAGTCCTCAACTTACACCACAATTGAGCCCAAACTTTCCATTGCTAAGCAAGATAGTAAAGTGAGCTTTTCTTGCCACAGCTGTTAAGAGAATCACTGCAATTGTTAAATTAGTAACATGGTTGTTAAGTGAATCTGGCTTCTGCATTGACTTGGCTTGTTTCAAATTTCAAACATGATCACTTGATCTTGCAACACTGCTATTCTCATAAATACATGTCAGTTGCCAAGTGCCTAAATATGGAACATGTGACCATGGGGATGCTACAGTGGTAAGTGTGAAAAAAGTCATAAATCACTTTTTTCAGTGCCCTTGTAACTTTGATCATTAAATGAATGGTTGTAAATTAAGGACTACCAGTATATGCTTCTTTGAGGCTCATAAGATTGAAGTGACTTTTAAAAATACTGTTACACATATAGTATATGGCGTCTTTTGAAGAGTGATTAGAGTTAATTCAACACTAGAATTAATGATAGCTAGTTTTGGGGAAGGATGTAATTCCATTACTATACCAAATTGCACTAGCTTTTGATCTCTTTTTAAATTCAGGTTAATGTGCTATCTGTGACATTTAAAAGCCCATACAGGTAGTTCTTGATTTACAACTGTAATTGAGCACAGAATTACAGTTGTAAGTTGTGATTCTAAATCAAGGTATCATATGACCAGACCTGATTTTTTGATACTTTTTGCACAGCTGAGGATTTTCTCCAAGGGCATTTTTTGCTGGAAACTGGCAAAAATATTGCAAATTGCAGACATATATAAAATGTTTATTAGAATAAAGTTCTTTATTAGAATAAAATGATTTTATATATTTTCCGGCATGCCAAACTAAATACAGTTTTCTCATAAACCAGTTTGCATTTTTTAAAGGATAAACTTCTTATCCCGCATACTAGGTATGATTTAGGTAGAGCCCAGTTCATTCAGTCAGACCATGTGTTATGAAAGTGTTCCTTAAGACCTGTGGAAAAACCAAGTTTTGATCACTTTTATGAAACACAACAGCATAGAGGTAATCAACATTTTTCTGATATTCCCCTCAAAAATGAGGGTAGTTGTTAAAAACCTCATCTCTTTTTTTATAACATGCAGGGCAAGATTATATAACAAGTGCTACTTATGTGATGATGATAAGAGGGTGCATCCATGAACACAGATTTGCAGTCAGAAGACCCTATGAAAATTCCTTAATTTCACAACAGATGGACAGATTCCACTGTAATTTCAACTGGGAAAGTTTAAGCATCCTAGATCAAGCTAGATCGAAAAATGCTAGGGAATTCCTGGAAGTTTGTATTTAGAAAAATCAGCTGTCAATAGATACAAAGAAAACAATACCATAATCAAGGAACTGCAGTGTTGTTGGGGGTGAGGAGAAAACCACACCCCTACCAACACTGACATGGCAAGCTACAAATAGGCAGAAAACCCCCACATCCTCCATACTTGTGATATTACCTAGTCAGGTAATAAAGTGCCTGCAAGTAAATAATCAAGCTCAGAAAACACCAAAGATTCTACAAGACCTTAATTATGAGCATTTTAATCATTTTATGTTCAAATTATTGCGGATAGCATTGAGTTTATACATTCTGCTAAATCATTGTGTGATTGATTTTGACTTAGAATATATTTGAATAATGGTTTGAATAGAAAACCGTAGAAAATAGGTTATCATGTTGTGGAAATCATACCCATTTGTCATTGATGATAAAAAAA